ATCCTGGAGACTGATGATCAAGTCCCACATCGGGCTCCCTGCATGGAGCCTGCTTCTCCCTCTGCCTGTGTCCCTGCCTCTGTGCCTCTGCCTCTCTCTCTCTCTCTCTCTCTCTCCCTCATGAATAAATAAGTAAAATCCTTAAAAAAAAAAAAAATTGGGGCAGCCCCCGTGGCGCAGCGGTTTAGCGCCGCCTGCAGCCCAGGGTGTGATCCTGGAGACCCAGGATAGAGTCCCACGTCGGGTTCCCTGCATGGAGCCTGCTTCTCCCTCTACCTGTGTCTCTGTCTCTCTCTCTGTATCTCTCATGAATAAATAAATGAAATCTTAAAAAAAAAAAAAAAGTTAGGTCATAAAAGATGATAAAACTTCTTCCTGGTACTCTCTGAGGACAACTTTGGACTCCAGAATCACCATGCAAGATATCCAGGTACCCTAAAACCCTCATGCTGGAGTAAAGGATGAGGAGTCAGAGGATTATAGAGCCATCCAAGAAATTGGTTGAATCTTCCTAGCTCAGCCACCTGATATGTGAATGAGGAATCCTTGGAGATGACTCCAGGCCCAACTGCCATCTGCCTCCAACTGTGTAAGAGAGGAAGCTTTTTGCTTTTTAAATGATTCCAGCCCCAGCTATCATCTAATTGCATCCACATGAGAAACCCTGAGAAGAAACTGCCTAGCCAAGTTCAAACATCCGAATCATAAAAGATTAAAAAAAAAAGGACTGTTATTTTATCCCACTAAGTTTAGTATGGTATACTATGCAGCAATAGAAAACCAAAACAGATTTTGGTTATAGGGTTGCTTCCAAAAAATGTAGACATTTGGCTTCTGGATCAGGTGGCAGGAAAAAGCCAGAAAAGGCTAAAAGTGTTAGTGAGAGCCTGAAGGATCTTAGTGTCACTGTTAGGAAAAGCCTCAAGGGGGATCTCTGGGTGGCGCAGCGGTTTGGCGCCTGCCTTTGGCCCAGGGCGCGATCCTGGAGACCCGGGATTGAATCCCACGTCGGGCTCCCCGTGCATGGAGCCTGCTTCTCCCTCTGCCTGTGTCTCTGCCTCTCTCTCTCTCTCTGTGACTATCATAAATAAAAATTAAAAAAAAAAAAAAAAAAGAAAAGCCTCAAGGAAGCTATCAATAAACACTTAAAACAGGGCGGGCGGGGGGGCTTGGGTGGCTCAGTGATTGAGTGTGTCTGCCTTTGGCTCAGGTCACGATCCTGGGGTCCTGGGATGGAGCCTGCTTTTCACTCTGCCTATGTCTCTGCCTCTCTGTGTGTGTCTCTCATGAATGAATAAATAAAGTCTTTAAAAACAAAGACAAATGGGATTGGCAAACCATAAACTACCTGTAAAATTCAATTGCTGCTTTGGTATAAATAAAGTTTTACTGAAACACAGCCACACCCATTTACTTATATATTGTTTGTTTTTGCCTCCTCACTACAACAGCAAAGCTAACTAGATGTGCCACTGACCCCATGGTCCCTAAAGCCAAAAATATGTATTGTCTGGCCCCTAACAGAATAAAGTTGCCCATCCTTAGCTTAAAAGAAAGTGAGAGGGCAGCCCGGGTGACTCAGTGGTTTAGCGCCGCCTTTGGCCGGGGCCTGATCCTGGAAACCTGGGATCAAGTCCCATGTTGAGTTCCCTGCATGGAGCCTGCTTCTCCCTCTGCCTGTCTCTGCCTCTCTCATGAATGAATAAATAAAATCTTTAAAAAAAAAAAAAAAAAGAAAGAAAAAAAAGTGAGAAAAGCAAGCGGCACCATTGCTCAGCAGTCGAGTGTCTGCCTTTGGATCAGGTCATGATTCTGCAGTCCTAGGACCGAGTCCCACATCAGGCTTCCTGCAGTGAGCCTGCTTCTCCCTCTGCCTATGTCTCTGCCTCTCTCTCTCTCTGTGTCTCTCATAAATAAATAAATAAAATCTTTTTAAAAAAAAAGTGAGAAAAGTATCACTGGAAGTGGAAAAAAAGGAAAATCCTATTAGCTAAGTGGAAAGTTTAGCAAAACTGTCACCTGAAATCATGTTGAAAAGAGAAAATATAATCAATGAACTTATGAATATGGGTAAGATTTCCAGGCAGCATATCAGAAGTACCAACTATTTTTGTTGTTGTTGTTAAGTATCATAAAGTACAAGTAGAGAGAGATGAGAAAAAGAAGAAATTACATATTTTCAAAAAGAATACAGAGGAAATATAAAGGAGTCAGAACTTGCTAGGTCCAAAAATAAACTATTCCTTACTTCCAAATAGCAAACATTTCTCAAATTAAGAAATGCCCTCCTGGGGCAGCCTGGGTGGCTCAGTGGTTTAGTGCCACCTTCAGCCCAGGGTGTGGTCCTAGAAACCCAGGATCGAGTCCCACGTCAGGCTCCCTGCGTGGAGCCTGCTTCTCCCTCTGCCTGTGTCTCTGCCTCTCTCTCTCTCTCTCATGAATAAATAAATAAAATCTTTTTTTAAAAAAAGAAATGCCCTCCAGAGAAAGACCAAGTCCAAGACAGTGTCAGGGACACATGGCCTAAGGATTAAACTTTTATTCAGACCAAGGATTGGCAAACTCTTTCTATAAAGGCAAAAATAAATATTTTAGGCTTTGAGGGCCATATACAGTCTCTGTTGAACATTCTTTTTTTTTTTTAACAACCCTTTAAAAATGTAAAAACACATCTTAACTCACTGGTAATAGGTGACCAACCCTAGTGTAGGTAGGTCAAATATCCAAAGAGATTCAATATAAAGTGGTGCCTCATAATTCCTTTCAAACAAAAAGCTGTCTAAGAATCTTAAAGGTGGGAGATCCCTGGGAGGCTCAGCAGTTTGGCGCCTGCCTTCAGCTCAGGGCGTGATCCTGGAGTCCCGGGATCGAGTCCCATGTCAGGCTCCCTGCCTGGAGCCTGCTTCTCTCTCTGCCTGTCTCTCTGTCTCTCTCTCTCTCTCTCTCTCTCTCTCTCTGTCTCTCTCTCTTTGTCTTTTGTGAATAAATAAAATCTTAAAAAAAATATCTTAAAGGTGTTTTCCCACAAAAACTTTAAATGGAGCTGAGAGGGTTTAGAACATTCTACCCCAAAATAAGGTACCTTGGCATATTGAGTATTTTAAGCTGAAGAAGCTTGAGAAAATGGCAGAAGCAGGAAAGTCACTCTGGCCTTTCCACTGCTATTCTCCCCTGAAATAGGTCATATGAGAGGTGCCCTCCCTGTACCTGCAAGAAGGGAGCATTCTTTATATATAGATATATATATGTATATATACATACATATATTATTTATTTATTCATGAGAGACACAGAGAGAGAGAGAGGCACAGACACAGGCAGAGGGAGAAGCAGGCCCCATGCAGGGAGCCCGATGTGGGACTCGATCCCGGGTCTCCAGAATCACACCCTGGGCAGAAGGCGGCGCTAAACCGCTGACCCACCTGGGCTGCCTGCCCAGAAGGGAGCATTCTTAATCTCCAAAGGCAAAGGGACATAGAGAAGAATCCTAACAGAGCTTGCTAAATTTCCCCCAGCTTACTACACTTTCCTCATTCTCTTTGTCTTATTACATTTCTCCACAACTGCCCACTCTTCATCAAGCCTAGCATAAAAACACTCAGGTTTAAACATTTCTTCAGGTTAAAAATAGAACTACCTTACCATCCAGCAATTACACCACTAGGTATTTACCCAAAAAACACAAAAATACTAATTCAAAGAGATACATGCACCCCAATCAATGTTTATAGCAACATTATCTACAACAGCCAAACTATGGAGACAGCCCAAGTGTCCATCAATAGATGAATGGATAAAGAAGCTGTACATACATACACACAATGGAATATTAGCCATAAGAAAGAATGAAATCTTGTCATTTGCAACAATGTGGATAGAGCTACAGAGCATTAAGCTAAGTGAAGTAAGTCAGAGAAAGACAAATACCATATGACTTCACTCATATGTGGAATTTAAGCAACAAAACAAATGAGCATAGGGGAAGAAATAGGCAAACCAAGAAATAGACTCTTAACTATAGAGAACAAATGGATGGTTACCAGAAGGGAGCTGGATGGGGGGATGGGTGAAATAGGTGATGGAGATTAAAGAGTACACTTGTGGTGAGCACCAGGTGATGTATGGAAGGGGTGAATCACCAAATTGTACATCTGAAACTAATATTACACCATATGTTAACTGGAATTAAAATTAAAACTTAAAAAATAAACATTTCTTCAGGTCTTCATTTACTAATAAAGGCTTCACTGTCACATAAAATTTATATTAAATAGACATGTATGCTTTTCTCCTTTTAATCTTTGCCAATTTAATTTTCAGACCCATTCAGGGATCTTAAGAGGGAGGGTCAAGGAAAACTTTTTCCTCTTCTGCGAGGCTAAGGTGGAGGAAGGCTTATATCATTGTGTAAGCACGGCTTTTGTCTAACAGAGTGAACCTCTCAAAAAGATTCACAGAGAATTCTGTGTTGAGCAATATTGTCATCTTGTACTAAAAAAGACAATTCAAAATGAAAAGAGGTTTTTGGGACACACACCACCTTCATGCTCAAATCCTATGGTTTAGGAAATTACTCATCTGCAGACAAAGAATACATTTTATGGAAAAGGAACAATAATCGAGAGGGCAAAACCAAGAGCTATGAAGGATGGTTCCTAGGCAATACAGCTGAGCCCTAATCAAAGTCATAATACAGGTCTGGCTGGATTTCAGATTTGCTGTGGACCAGCAACTATTGTGTTCCTTATATTTTTCTTTATTTTTGAAGAGCAGTGCCCATAATGGTTATCTTATGCCTGTCCACCGTTGCATACCGGTGGGAGAGAGAACATAGCTCTTTGGCTTACAAGTCTTCAAAGTGAAAGCAATGGTACCCGGGGAGCTATACCCAAGGAGCTATATCCAAATAGCCTTACCTGCACCTGGATCTGATTTAGGTGATAAGATCCTAGACATCAAGCCTGAACCTGATGCTGTATTATTAGGTAAGACCCCTCCTAGTGCTCACTTTGGCAGCACATACACTAAACCTGGAATAATACAGAGCAGATTAGCAGGGCTCCTGCACAAGGATGACATACACATTCATGAAGTGTTCCATATTTACACAAAACAAAACAAAAAAACTCTCTGAGAAAGGGTAAGTGGGGTAAGTGTGTTTTGCACTCGGGAGGAATGTAAATAATTTGTGGCCCAAGAACAACTGAAGTGGCTTTGAAATATGTCTGCATATTCTTGACACTCTTCCCAAAAAGAGGTGGAGTCTAATTCCCTTTCCTTTGAATATGGGTTGGCCTTAATGACTCACTTCTAATGAATAAAATGCAGTAGAAATGACACTGATTCTGAATTTAGGTCATAAAAGACAATACACCTCCCTTCTGGCTCTCTTATTCAGATCAAGTGCTTTTGGAACCCTAAGCCTCCATGTAAGAAGTCTGGCTACTATGAAGCTCCTATGCTGGGACTACAAAGAAATAGAGATAGTGATGTTCAAAGAGTTAATTCAGCTCCTAGTTATCTGAACTTCACTACTCCAGTGCCAGACATCTGAGTCTAGAAGGAAGCCTTTGAGAAAACACAAGGCCCAACAGACTACAAGTGTGTGAAAGAACTTATGCAAAAATCACTTTGATAAGCCTAGTCAATACGTAGAACCTTGAGAGTTTTATGTCAAGTTGGAAATGGTTTTGTTCTTTGGCAACAGATAACTGCAACAGCATGCCTGGAGACCCCGCCTGAAATGCTGAAAGGTCAAACTTAGCCTGCCTTGCTATATATACCAAGCAAATGACATCAAACAACATCTTCAGCTCATCCAGCTCCTCCTCCTTTCCAGCATCCACTGAACTATTGGATTTGATCATGGTACAAGCTATTTTATGACTAACACATACACAATTAAAATGTGACAATTATGTTTTAAATTGTATGCCAATCTAGCTTTAAGTGTTATTTGAAATTACTTAAATTTACACACACAGTCCATGTTTCTTACTAGCATACTATTTCAGTTATTTTACAAATATTTTTGAAATGATTGAGACTTGTAGTCATACTACCTTCTCTAAACATAACACTAATTTGCAGTGTCTTAAAATGTGGTTATACCTGCAACAGAACTAGAATAATCATCACCAATATGTAATAACCACTATTTCTAAGGTCTCTTTGGCTTTTTTAAAGTATGTATGTATGTATATATGTATGGAGCACAAGCATGGGGAAAGCAGAGAAAGGAGAGAGAATCTCAAGCCGACTCTGCGCTGAGCACAGAGTCTGACACAGGGCTCGATCTCATGACCCTGAGATTGTGACCTGATCCGAAATCAAGAGTCAGGGATGCGTGGATGCCTTAGCAGTTGAGCGTCTGCCTTTGACTCAGGGTGTGATCCTGGGGTCCGGGATCAAGTTCCACATCAGGCTTCGCGCAAAGAGCATGCTTCTCCCTCTGCCTACGTCTCTGCCTCTCTCTCTCTCTGTCTCTCATGAGTAAATAAATAAAATCTTAAAAAAAAAAAAAATCAAGAGTCAGACACTCTACCGACTGAGCCACTCAGATGCCCCAGGTCTTTTCATTTTTAAATGCTATGATCTAGGGGATCCCTGGGTGGCTCAGCGGTTTAGCACCTGCCTTTGGCCCAGGGCGCAATCCTGGAGTCCCAGGATCGAGTCCCACGTCGGGCTCCCAGCATGGAGTCTGCTTCTCCCTCCTCCTGTGTCTCTGCCTCTCTCTCTCTCTATGTCTATCATTAATAAATAAATCTTAAAAAAATAAATAAATAAAATAAATAAATAAATAAATAAGTAAATGCTATGATCTAAATTCAAAGAAAATAAATCACCTACATTTGAAAATACTTAAATTCAATGTGGTTTAGATCACTGGCTGGGAATTTAATGTTCACAGATTATAAACATGGTTAAGCTCATCTTCAACAGAGAAACTAAAAGAACTGATGAGCCAAGAACTAATTGGTCCCAGCAGAATGGAAGAAAATACTCTGGAACAGGAAGAGCAAGGAGGCCTGAGGTGAAGGTAGCTTACTCTGAAAACTCTCCATTGTAAAAGCATTCCCAACTAGACATTTTAAGGAAAAAAGCCTTAATCATCTATGCCACCAAATAACTTAACACATCCTAAATTATTTAGCAGCAGTTTAATTAACCTTTTTCACTCTTTCCTAGACTGTCAAATGTTTGATTTTTTTAGCAAGCAATCACTGGAAAGAGAAAAATCAAATATAATAATCAGTTTGAGAAGAAATTTTAAAGAATAAAAATGTGTTCTGCTTTAGATGTGATTCTTTTACTGAGTATTACATATACCCAAAGTTTGGATAACTAAAAGGAAAGAGAAAGTCAGTGTGCAAAAGTCTCTTTAACCCACAATATGGCTGATTTTAAATATCAGCCTGGGTTCTGGGTTCTAATAGCATAGCCATTTAAAAGAAAAAGGTTCTTTCTTACTCACAGGGCAAAAGTTTAGGCCCTTTACAAATCTTGAAATAAATAAAGGTCACTTCCCACAGAGAATCCATAACTACTTCACTCTTCCTTCCTCATGTAAGTCTCAGTCTTTCAATAAAACTGACTTTGAGTGTCAGAAAAACACTAAACTTACTGAACTTAGTCACACTGAAGGATGAATATAGAAGAGCCCCCAACCTTCTCAAGAGACTAAAGACTGTAAACAGAGTAGAAAACATTCTGGATTCCCCTCCAAAAAAAAAAAATTCCTTTTAAGCTCTACATCAAAAAAAAATGTGCCGGGGATCCCTGGGTGGCGCAGCGGTTTGGCGCCTGCCTTTGGCCCAGGGCGCGATCCTGGAGACCCGGGATCGAATCCCACGTCGGGCTCCCGGTGCATGGAGCCTGCTTATCCCTCTGCCTGTGTCTCTGCCTCTCTCTCTCTGTGTGTGTGTGTGTGACTATCATAAATTAAAAAAAAAAAAATGTGCCTTTCTACTTACCACCATTATCTCCCAGTACCTAGTACAGGGATAAACACAATAGTGACTATCAAAATTGTACATAAATGAATCAATATTTTGCCTTTATCTCCCATATAAGAAATTTGCATTCTAGTTCCATTCTACCAGTAACGAGCTACACAACCCTGGGGAAAGTACTTGCTCTCTCAAGCTTTACATTCCAATATACAACATAAAATGAGATGAGGTAGAGTCTGTGGAGGAGGATTAGACACTAAGTCTCATGAGGGCAACAACTCTTATTCAATACCTCTGCAACCCAGTCTAATAAAGTGGCTATGGTGCATTCAAATGTATACTGAATGAAGTTTCTTCCAGCCCTGATTTCATAATTCTTTATTATTTGCTTAAATTATATTTGTTTTCTAAGCATACAGTATACAGTCCAACATACTCTATACTTAGCTCAACTAAACAGTAAAGGCCTTTTAAAACTAGAATACTTCTTTTTTTTATTCATAGAGACACAGAAAGAGAGAAAGGCAGAGACAGACAGGCACAGGGAGAAGTAGGCTCCATGCAGGGAGCCCGACGTGGGACTCAATCTTGGGTCTCCATGATCACACTCTGGGCTGTAGGCGGTGCTAAACCGCTGCGCCACTAGGGCTGCCCAAAACTAGAATACTTCTTATGGGACTGCTGGGTGGCTCAGTGGTTGAGCGTCTGCTTTTGGCTCAGGGTGTGATCCCAGGTCCCGGGATCGAGTCCCACATCAGCTCCCTGCGAGGAGTCTGCTTCTCCCTCTGCCTGTGTCTCTGCCTCTCTATGTCTCACATGAATAAATAAAAAATCTTAAAACAAATAAAACTAGAATATTTCTAAAATCTTCTCCACCCCTCCACATGGGTGATTTGCATGACTAATATTTATTCTTTAGATTTAGTTTTTATTTATTTATTTATTTGTTTGTTTGTTTATTTATTTATTTTTTTATGATAGTCACACACAGAGAGAGAGAGAGAGAGGCAGAGACATAGGCAGAGGGAGAAGCAGGCTCCATGCACTGGGAGCCCGATGTGGGATTCGATCCCAGGTCTCCAGGATCGCGCCCTGGGCCAAAGGCAGGCGCCAAACCGCTGCGCCACCCAGGGATCCCTAGATTTAGTTTTTAAAAGGTAAGATTTGGGGGGTACCTGGGTGGCTCAGTAAGTTAAGCATCCAATTCTTGATTTCAGTTTAGGTCATAATCTCAGGGTTGTGAGATCAAGCCTCACGTCCTGCTCCATGCTAGACAGGGAACCTGCTTATGATTCATTCATTCTCTCTCTCTCTCTCTCTCTCTCTCTCAAAAAAAAAAAATTAAAAATAAATAAAACAAAAAGGTAAGATTTGGACAAAGACAGGATGCCAGAAGCAATACAATTTTCCAAATTCTTCTGATCTGGGTTTTGCAGTTTAGTTTTACTGTGCTACTTAAAAACACTTTTAGAAGTACCTAGAATACTCAGGTTAATCCACTTACAACCCGGGATCCCTGGGTGGCGCAGCGGTTTGGTGCCTGCCTTTGGCCCAGGGCGCGATCCTGGAGACCCGGGATCGAATCCCACGCCGGGCTCCCGGTGCATGGAGCCTGCTTCTGCCTCTGCCTGTCTCTGCCTCTCTCTCTGTGACTATCATAAATAAATAAAAATTAAAAAAAAAAAGAGGGGAAAAAAAATCCACTTACAACCCAAAAGTGTATTCCGAACTCAAACACAATGTATTATTATCTATTCTATATGTCCACCTTTCACATAAGTGATTGAAAACTGTACACATTTATTTAGGTTCATATTTTTCACAGCATGCAACCAACAACTACTATCAATTTATTATTTAGAGTTCTTTCTGTAACACCATATAAAAGCTAATTTTTAAAAGGATCTTGTGCCTTTGGAAAACTATCATCTCCAATTTAGGTGTAGCCCTCAAAAAGTTGGCCCATCTCTGCTATCAAGTAGTAATGCCTGCAATAAATTCAAGAATTTCAGCTTGAATAAGTTATTATGGTTAACATATTCCCAAATTATCCTAATTATTAAAATCTAGTAACAACTTTTGAAATATTAACCCATATCCTCACTAGCAATTTACAGTTTGGACCCTGACACTCAGCATTTATTTTCTGTTCCTT